GAGGGGCTGATGGCTGTTTCCAGGCTGGCCAAGCCCCCCAGCGGGGACCCTCACCTCATGGGGGTGTGGTCAGCTTGGGTGAGGGGCTGAGGGTCGTTTTTCAGGCTGGCCATGCCCCCCAGTGACCCAAGCTCCCAGCCTCTCCATTTTTTGCAGGTATCTGGGATTTACTTATCTTCTATAATTGAAACTTTGTAGCCTTGAGTAGAGCCCAGGGCCACCCAGGGCAGGCGGGAAGCTTGGCTTCCTACATCGCCAGGGACAACCCAAGCCATCTTAGTTGGGTTAATTTGCATAGTTGCTCTGATTGGCTGGTGGGCATGGCTTGTGGGTGTAGCAGAGTGACGGAGTGATGGTTAATTTGCATCTTTCTCTTTTATTAGTGTAGATGTTTGCTGTAAAATAGTAGGCTGTGTTATGTAGGCAGGAGCCTCAGAGATCTTGCATTTGTGTGTCTCTTGATTGCATTGTCTCTTGTAATTGATTTAATACTGTGTTTTGTACAGAAACATGCTGTTCAGGCTTGTAGCCTAGAAGTAATGGGTTATACCATATAGCCTGGATGTGTAGTAAGCTATACTGTCTAGGTCTGTGTAAGTCTACTCTATGATGTTCACAATAATGAAATCGCCTAAGGCGCTTTTCTCAAAACTTATCCCCATCGTTCATCAATGACTAATTGTATTTTAATTCAGAAAAAGTACCTATTAGTTCTGGGGTTTGAGGACATACAGAAAAAATAAAGGTCTGTAAATTTATTAAAAGAAACTTTAAACATTTAAAATACAACAATGTTGGCACAAGCTTAAGTGAACTTCAAAGAACTAGGTTAACACCCAGTATGCAAACATGGTCTGTTTATTTTACAAAGTACAAGATATACAGAAAGGGGAGATAGAAAAAAAACCCTAAAAATCCCTAGGAAGGCAGAGAAAACATTGTGCTAAAGATTCAGAGACAGGAAATTAGAAAGTTGCACATTTCCTGAGGAGGTCCAAAATGGTGACAGCATAGGAGGATGCTGAACTTGCCCCTCCCAAGAATACATTGAAATATACATCTATGTATAGATCAGATACTCCTGAGACAGCAGAGGCTGGATATTCATCTGCTGAACAACAGAGAAGGTGGGAAATGAAGGGTGCAAGGTTGAAGGTGCTGGTTTTGAGTTTAGCAAAACAAACTTGGGCAGGTGAGTGGAGAATGAAAGGAAAAGCAATATACTTGTGGCTAAAACCAACTCCAAGTAGCTTATCTACAATAATAAAAGTGTAATATGCAAATCGACCAAACTGCCGAACAGCAGAACTAACAGCAAAATGACTGTCCGGACGACCACGCTATGACACACACTGGTGCCAGGCCAGCCAAATCGAGTGCGATGCAACTGTCGGGGGGACCTCCATGATTGCCTCAAAGAGGGAGGCCCAGGCCACTGACCAGCGGGCTGCGGCGGGTCCTCCCTCTGTGGAGTGATTGACTGCGGGGCTCCTGGACTGCAAGAGGGCGCAGGCCAGGCTGAAGGACCGCGCCCCCCCCCCCCAGTGCACAAATTTCGTGCACTGGGCCTTTAGTTTCAAATACTAGCCTTCCTTACACAGTTCATTTGGAGAAGGGAAAGGGAAAGAAATGAAGAATTTGCAAGTATCACATAAAACACTAGTATGCCAAAATTGTATACCTGCTATTTAACAGATGATTCTTTAAGTTTCATATAGCAAAAGTTATTTCTACAGAGAAACTATTAAGTATACATCAAACAGCCTAGTCTGGGCTATCAATTTTTCTAGAGATTCAGTGAGGAAGCATTATAAAAATAATGCCTTTTAATAAGCTAAATCCTTTCCACTTTATCATCATCGTCACCTCCATAAGTTATGATTAGCCTTTGCCAAATTATCAAAAGCACCTGGAACTGACTAAACCTTCATGACAGTAAAATCAGACAAGAGCCCAAAGTTCACTGGGACTCTATTATTACTGGCTCTGGTCTCTCTTAAGTCAGGGTTTTTGTTGTTGGTTTTTTTTAAGGCTCTCGAAACCTTAAGTAAATAAATCCAACAGCCAGTGAAAACTGACACACCCAGAAACTCCCAAGAAACATTTACTTCATAGTTCACAATAGACTGTCCTATTCCATCTGCGTTGGCCTTGCCTGGGGCTAAAGGTTAAAGGAAAACATTCCCGAATACCTTCATACTTTATGGGTGGAAAAACTGAGGAGGGAAAAAGAACAATCCATCCTAAGAGGATTTCTTCAAGGGCAGGGACATAGAACTATCATTTCCACAGCATATACCCCATCTTCTGACTTTCCTAAACTGCTTAATTTTTGCTCCTTAACTAAAAAAATAATTCAGCCCTGGCCAGTGCTCAGTTGGTTGGAGCACTGCCTCGTGCACCAAAAATGTTTCAGGTTCAATTCCCAATCAGCGCACTTAATCAGATGGCAGGTTCGATCCTGGTCAGGACACACAGAAAGCAACCATTCAATGTTTCTCTCTCACATTGATGTTTCTCTCGCTCTCTTCCTCTCCTTCCTCTCTCTGTAAAATCAGTAAAAATATACATTTCATCTACATTTCTAGAATCCTTCCAACACAAGATGTACGCGATGCTACAGCTAAAGGAGCCTTCGGGATGATCAATATCTTTACTCCTGACCAACAGTACCCACCCTTAGCCCTTTCCACTGACCTCCCACCAGCCAACAAATAAGTAAATAAAAAATCCCATCCTGGAACCAGTATCTAGGATTCTCAACTAACCCTCGTGGAAGCAATCAATCTGCTCAAAGAAACCTATGATGGCCGTTTCTGGGGTTGTTCCCAACAGCATCCTAACAGGATTTCTAAGAAACGAAGTCTTACTCCAAACTTCTCAAAGACAGGTTAGGTTTTCAATAACATGCATTGGGGAGATATTTTTGAAGAGAGAGACTTTGTGGACTTTCCGCAAATCACATCACATAGGAAGCTGCCTACCAGTAGGTTAACAGTATATACAAAAAAGGAAATTGCTCTAATCTCTCTCAGCCTCATTAAGTATTTCATAGATACTGTGAATATTAGTGCAGAACCAGACACTGGGATTCACCAGGCTGCTCTCCATGTAAAGAGTTTAAGTCTGCCACCTGCTACCTCTCCAAAAACACCCTTTGGCAATCTTGACCCCAGAGAGTACCCTGGGTAATAGTGTTTCCCTCCAAAAGATAAGCAGGAAAGTAAAAGGTGACTGGGTGGGGGTGGGGAGTTGTTTGAGTTGTGTTAGTTCCTTCAACATGATTAGTTTATTTATTTTTTCCCACACGATTACTTTAGAATCAATCCATTTTCAGTGCCTAGATCTACTTCTTGAAAATGAAAATAAGATTTTTACCTTGTAGTAAAATAATTTCTACTTATCCCACCTTCTTAAAGTAAAACCTGAGACCAAAACTTTTGCAACATAGACAGTAATTCTAAGAACAGAGTTTCACAAAGCACTAAAGGTCAAGTTCAGAGACAGAAACCTAGGGGTTTAATGAAAGATTGGATGCTTGCTGATTATTTGAATACTTACCCACTCTTCAACATTGGGGGGCTGCTCATCATAAACAGGCTCCTTGTCCCACAAAATATTTGACTTGTCATACTGGTCCATCTTTCTTCGAGTTTTCACAGCAAAGAAAATTATTAAAGCAAAAGCCACAATAACCATGAATCCCAGCACAATGGCAATGGCCTAAAGAGAGGAAAGATAATGATATAATTACATTTTAATTGCTTACTTCAGCTCAATGCACCCTCTACAAGTACCTAATCCACCCTCTACAAATACCCTACTAAATATCTGTGACTTAACTGATATAAAACTGATACAAATGGCTACATTTTAGAACTATAAAACCTACCCATACTAGTTAAACTAATGCTAGCAAAACACACACACCCCTTAATTCAATCCTCAGAATACAGTTAACTAACGTTAGGTACTACCATCATCCCCATTTCAGAATTTTACAGGAAACTATTCCCAACTAAAGCTTGAGCACCAAGGGGCCGTATTTTACAGAGGATCGGCCTCACCATTAAGTATGCAGGCATAATCTAACCGAGCTATAAATCAGAGGAACCTGACTAATGATTCATTTAGTCTGGCAGGTTTTTCTGTTTTGGAGTCTTTCATCTACTTACTAGAAAGGGCTCTGTGACAAGGAAACCCTACCCAGGACTGTTCTCCCAGTGCCTGGTAGATGTGTTAAGTGGTATGCTGGCCCAGAGGCACCTGGAGTTGAGGCAGGCACCAGGACTCTGCCCTGGATATATGGTAGCAGGAGGCTCTCTCCGCAGCTATCTCACAGTGACATCCTTCCTTAAAGAATACAGGTTTGGGTAGTAGGAGGACTAAAAAGGATGGGGCTGTGGTGGGATAGGAGTACCGACCGTCAGCCCTGTTTACCATAGATACACCTGAATGTCAACCACAAACATTCTGAAAACCTACAATTGCAGGGAAAAACATTTCAGTCTTCAAAAGAGGCAAAAGAATGAGAATTCCTGAGTCAGTTAGTAACCCAGAAACATTTTCTGAATATAATTAGGGGGTGACTCATGGCTACTGAAGGCAGGGTTTCCTACCCCACCTGCACATTTGAATCACCTGGATAGCTTTTAAAAATACTGGCTTACACTCTAAAAATTACAAAACACTTTTGAAAGAAATTAAAGATGACCTAAGTAAATGGAAAGACATACTATGCTCATGTATTAGTAGACTTGATGTAAAGATGACAATACTCCCCAAATCGATCTACAGATTCAATGCAATCCTTCAAAATTAAAATTCTAGCTGGCTTCTTTTTCCCTCCAGAAATTTACAAGCTGATCCCAAAATTCATATGAAAACACAGGAGACCCAGAATTTAGCCAAAACAATCTTGAAAAAGAACAAAGCTGGCAAACTCCCACTTCCTGGTTTCAAAACATACTACAAAGCTACAGTAATCAAGATAGTGAGGTACTAGCATAAGGACAGAAATATAGATGAATGGAATAAAATTGAGAGTTTAGAAATAAATCCTGACATTTAATGTCAATTCATTTTTGACTAGGGCATGGACAATTTCATGGTGAAATAGTCCTTTCAATAAATAATATTAATATAACTGCACAAAGAATGTTAGACTCCTTCCTTATACTATGTCCTAACTCAGGAGTGGGCAAACTTTTTGACTCGAGGGCCACAATGGGTTCTTAAACTGGGCCGTGGGTTACATTGTTGCTGGGGCACTGTTAGCCCTGAACTGGTTTACTGCCAAGCTGCGGTGACTTGGCAGCAGTGGTTCTCGGGCGACGCACCCTGGAACCAGAGAGGAGGGAGCACGGCCCCGCTTCCTTTCAATGTGCATGAATCCGTGCACCGGGCCACTAGTTCAGCAATAAAAAGGAATGAAATACTGGTACCTGCTACAACATGAACCTTAAAAACATTATGCTAAATTAAGTCAATCATAAAAAACTGCATATGTATTGTGTGATTCTGTTTATATGAAATCCAGAATAGGCAAATCTATAGAATAGGTCTGGGAAGAGTTAGGGAAATGACAATTGACTGTTTGAATTAGTGAAATGTTCCCCGGGGAATAGTGAAAGTGTTGATTGTGGTGATGGTTGCACAACTCTGTGAATATACTAAAAACCAACGAACTATACTCTAAATGGATGAATTACGTGGTATGTTAATTATATCTCAACTAGAGGCCCGATGCACAAAATTTGTGCAAGGGGCTGGGCCCTCACAGCCGCGGCCCCAGCTTCGTCCAGAAGTACATCTGGAAGGTCATTCGGCTGTCCAGTCTAATTAGCATATTACACTTTTATTATTGTAGACTAGAGGCCCGGTGCATGAAACTCATGCACGGAGGGGGTGCCCTCAGCCTGGCCTGCACCCTCTCCAATCCGGGACCACTCAGGGGATGTGTGACTGCCAGTTTAGACCTGATCCCTGTGGGATCAGGTCTAAATCAGACAGGGATCGGGTCTAAACCGGCAGTCGGACATCCCTCTTGCAATCTGGGATCACTGGCTCCTAACCGCTCACCTGCCTGCCTGCCTGATTGCCCCTAACTGCTCCCCTGCCTGCCTGATTGCACCTAACCACCTCTGCCGGCCTGCCCAATCACCCCTAACTGCTCTCCCCTGCTGGCCTGATCCCCCTAACTGCTCTCCTCTGCTGGCCTGATCCCCCTAACTGCTCTCCTCTACCGGCCTGATCCCCCTAACTGCTCTCCTCTGCTGGCCTGATCCCCCTAACTGCTCTCCTCTACCGGCCTGATCCCCCTAACTGCTCTCCTCTGCCAGCCTGATCCCCCTAACTGCTCTCTCCTACCGGCCTTATCGCCCCTAACCACCTCTGCCTTGACCCCGTCACAGTGGCCTTGTCCGGAAGGACATATAGAAGGTCGTCCGGAAGATGTCCAGTCTAATTAGCATATTACCCTTTTATTAGTATAGATAATGACACCTAGCCCTTCTCTCAGAGTCTGATTAAAATAGAAGTGGGGTTGTGGCAACAATATTGTTTAAAAGTTCCCAATGTGGTTCTATTAAGCATCCCGAGTTGAGCCTCTAATGCAAGGTGTGAAAAAATAAAATTACTCATACCTCCTGGGGATCCACCACACAGTAGTGATACAAATACTGATCCACGTACATCCCAGAAGTTGTAGGTGAATAAAACTGGTTGCAGATGGCAATAATCTGTGAACCATACATAGATCCAGAAGCCTGGGCAGTTGGATTGACTCCCATTATATAGACGATTGTGGCAATAAACACCATGAAGCCCAGGATAGCACTCACTATTATCACGGTCAGGTAATATCTTCTTGTTCTAGATATTTCAGATCTTATAACACTGGTAACGAATATCACCAATGCAGCAATGAAACAAAAGGCAGCCATGGATAGCAGGAAGCCCTTTGCCGCTCTTGGATCTGTATAGCCTGTTCCATAGCCATAACCGTAGCCATAACCATAGCCATTTCCGAAGCTTCCAAAGCCACTTCCAGGATAAGGGTAACCTATACCACCTCCTAGAATGTTACTTCCATAGCCTCTGTCCCAGCCAAGTGTGGAGGCGACACAGGCAAAGATGGCAATGCACAGCACAATGATGAGCATAGACAGAATCCGAATCACTCCTGGAGGAGAGGTCCATTTGTAGAAGTGAAGAATTTCATCTTCTGGGTAGAAAGAATATGCCGTATGAGAGAGCATTGGGCGACCATGCATCTCCCCACCGTACATGTCATTGCTTGGTGCGTAATGACTTGGTTTGCTGAAATGCACATGAAAACAATGTTAAGTTAGCACTTTTTGGAGGTAAGCAGAAAAAAAGTATAAAACACTTAGAATAACTTAAACAAACCATTGGCCAAAAATAATAAACAAACAAACAAAAACCCTATTGTTAGTACTGCCCCACTGCCATGGGGCAATTTGTGTCCCCCAAAATTAAAATGTCAGCATCCTAAATCCGAGTGTGATGGTATTAGGAGGTGGGGCCTTTGGGAGGAAATTTGGTCATGAGGTAGAGCCCTCATGAATGGGAATAATGCCCTTATAAAAAAGGTCTCAGAGAGCTCTCTGACCTTTTCCGCCAGGTGAGGACTCAACTAGAAGTTGGCAGTCTACAACTCGGAAGGGGGCCTTCACCAGGACCTGATAATGTTGACACCCTATCTTGGAATTCCAGCCTCCAGAAATGAAATAAATTTCTGTTGTTCAGGAGCTTCCCAGTCTATAGTCCTTTGTTCTATCAGCCTGAAGTGACTCAGATACCCACTGAACAGTAAAGATATCTGTGCATCACAATCCCTGGAGGGCTGTGCGCCTCCACCCCTGAAGGTGCTGAGTCTGCAGATCTGGGGTCGGACACTTCTCCCGGTGCTGGGGATGCTGTTGGTCTGGGAACCATACCTTGAGAATCACTGCTCTCGTTTCTATGTATAGAACAGAAGTTCTCAATTTTTGCTACATATTAGAATCACCTGGGAATGTGTAAAATCCCCGGATGGAGAACTTCATACCAGTTAAATCACAATACCTGGAAATGGAACCCATGAAGTTTAAAACAATGGTGTCAACCCTTTTGCCAGTGTGACTTGAGAGCAGTGCTTTCAGACATGACACCTATAATGACCTACCGATGCACATGTGCAATTCCTGGTAGCCTCACTCTCCTAAGAAGGCACATTCATTCATTTATTCAACTGACAGCTGTTTCCTGGAGCCAGGCTGGCACTGTGCTCGTGACTGGGATGCAACAATGAACAGAAGTCTCAGTCCAGGATCCTCCCAGAGCTGAGTCTCTCTCAGGGCCGTAAGACATTAATCCCTACATGATCTATAATTAGTTATGGTGTTATAAAGTAAATCAAATATGTAATGAGGGCTCATCAGGGTGATGCCTAATTGGATTCTGACTCTCATTTATAAAAATATCTTGTAAACTCCACTAATCGATGCATAAACATGGCTTGTGAAAGAAGGCACACTGATGTGTGGACAGACTGAATTTAAGAACTGCATGTCTTGGGAAACAAAATTCAATTCCCAACCTGACCTCAGCCCCTTTTGTTTTTGCCATTATTCCCATAGTCCACCTTCCTCACCCCAGGGCACAACATCTTACTGCTAGGTGCTTCAAAGAAATTACCTGAGTGTATGAGAATGAAAACTGATAAGCTGGTCCTTGAGAATGTCAAGCATGAAAGCTCTATAACCCATCCTACTCGAATATTTGGGGCTGTCATGGACAGTGTAGCTTTGAACATCCTGAACATCTTGTATCCTGGCACACACAGCACTTATTCTTCTAAGGTATGTAGCCAGAAGTAAAATGTCTGTTTTTGTTTTGTTTTGTTTTGTTTTTTTAGTTTCAGCTCCACCAGACAATGTCAAACTGTTTTCCAAAATGATTGTATCAACTTACACTCCCATTAACAGTGTAATAGTCACAGAAGCATTGCTTGTGATAACCCAAAACAGGAAACAGTCCAAATGGGTGCTATACTGTTATTTATAAGAAATATATATATTTGGTCACTCACTCAGATGACCACATATATTTTTCTCATTGTATTTGGTCTTCCACTATTCCTGGCTTACAAGTCCAGGCACTCTTGGAATTTTCTAAATGTTGAGGGAAAGGGGTGTCTTTTGTTATGTTAATGAGGTGGTTTGTAGAAAGCACTAATGATGGGGGAGTTGGAATTTTCAGTCCTCACCCCTACTCTCCATGCTCAACCCAACCACACACACCACCTCTGGGGAGGGGAGAGAATCAACTGCCAAAGGCCAATGGTTTAATCAATCATTACTAAGTAACAAAGACTACAAAAACCCAAGAGAAAGGTTCAGAGCTTCTGGGTTGGTGAACACGTGGAAATTCATGGAGAGTGGTGCACCTGGAAAGGGCATGGAAGCTCTGAGCCCCTTCCCACATACCTTGCCCTATGGATTTCTTTCATGTGGCTGTTGCTGAGTTATGTCCTTTACAATAAATCAGTGATCAAGTAAGTAACATGATCCTCTGAGTCCTGTGAATCATTCTAGCAAATTAATTGAACCCAAGGAGAGAGCTGTGAGAACCTCTGATTTATAGCTAGTCGGAAGTGCAGGTAACAGCGTGGCATTCTGAGTTGGAGAGGGTCGTTGGAACCTCCAATCTGTAGCCAACTGGTCAGAAGCATGGAGAGCCTGGCCTTGTGGCTAACCTCTGAAGTAGGTATGTTAGGGGGTGGGGCATCTAATGCTATCTCTGGATAAACTGAGTTGAATTCTTGAACAACCTGTTGTTATCTGAGAATTATCAGTGGGGTGGAGGGAAGCAGTCTTGCAGAATGGAACCCTAACTTATGGAATAGAACTCTATCTCCAGGTAGCTACTGTCAGAATTGAGGGCACCCTGCTGGTATCCTGAGAATTGTTTGTTGGTGTGTGGGGAACCCCCCACATTAGAACTGGATCCAGGGGCCCGATGTAATGGGTAATTGTGATATATCCATACAGAGCTATGCTCTAATATGGCAGCCACTAGCCACATGGATTTACTGACCACTTGAAGTGTGGCCAGTCCAAACTGAGGTGTGCTTTTAAGTGTAAAATACACAGTGATCACAAGATGAAGAAAAATGTAAGACCAGCAAGAGAGAACCCTAACATTAACTATGTACTACGGCTGATAATGATGTGTCAATGTAGGTTCATCAATTATAACAAATGTTATCACTCTGGTGGGGATGTTGATAATGGGTGATGCTATGCATGTGTGGGGGCAGGAAGAATATGGGAAATCTCTGTACCTTCCTCTCAATTTTGCTATGATTGTAAAATTGCTCTAAAATATAAAGGCTTAAAAAAACATACCCAGAATGTACACTATCCCATGAATCAGTCTTTATATGAATCTTGTGTTGAAATGATAATATGACTCATTATATTTAATGAGTATAGCACTGCTCTGAAGCAAAAATGAAGAAAATTTACAAACAAGTAAAACTTATGTACTCTTTGGGATGGTGAGATAACAGAGAAAAGCAAAGTCCTGTCAGAACAGGACTTTGAGGTGTTGTTTCTTGACCTTGGTGATGATTTTGTTTTGTCTTTACTCATCATCTTATACACAAGTTCTGTGCCCTTTTCTATTTGTATATATTTCACCATCGTTTATAAAAGCAACATAAAATAAACATCAGGCTAATGGAACACAACTCAGTAACTATATTCTCTAACATTTTAATGACCACATTGTCATAAACAACTATGTCGATACCATGTTCAAGTACTAGTCAGGAGGTTATGTAATACGAACACAACCCCACTACAATTACCAAAGAGTTAAAGCTACAACTACTTAAAGGAGGCAATCCCTAGCAATGCTTGCTAACGAATTTAAAATGGAAGAATTCACTGTTAAATCCCCAAATAATTAGGGATGCTAAGAACCATCAATTTTGCTTCTTTTATATAATGGCATGAATCACTCTTAAAATCGACAATGTAGAACACATGATGCTAAGTGAAAGAAGTCAATCACAGCCCTAGCTGGTTTGGCTCAGTGGATAGAGTGTCAGCCTTCGGACTGAAGGGTCCCAGGTTCGATTCCAGTCAAGGGCACATGCCTGGTTGCAAGCTTGATCCCCAGTTGGGGGTATGCAGAAGGCAGCTGATCAATGATTCTCTCTCATCATTGATGTTTCTCTCTCTCTCCCTCTACCTTCCTCTCTGAAATCAATAAAAATCTATACTAATAAAAGGGTAATATGCTAATTAGACCGGATGTCTTCCAGGCATCCTTCCAGACAAAGCCACAGTGGCTGCAAGGGCTGAGGGCCTGCAGCCGCAGAGGCTGTGAGGGCCGGTCCAGCGCCAGGGTCCCTTTTGCAGAGGCCGCAGGAGAAGGCACCGCAGAAGGGAGAAGGCGGCTCCGGGAGAAGGGAGAAGGGAGGAGAAGGGAGGAGAAGGGAGGAGAAGGGAGGAGAAGGGAGGAGAAGGGAGGAGAAGGGAGGAGAAGGGAGGAGGCGGCTCTGCGGGAGAAGGGAGAAGGGAGAAGGGAGAAGGGAGAAAGGAGAAGGGAGGAGAAGGGAGAAGGGAGAACGGAGAAGGTTGCAGTTAGGCAGTTAGGGGGATCAGGCTGGCAGGGGAGAGCAGTTAGGCAGTTAGGGCAATCAGGCCAGGAGGGGAGAGCAGTTAGGGGGATCAGGCAGGCAGGCAGGAAAGTGGTTAGGAGCCAGTGGTTCTGGATTGCGAGAGGGATCCCGGATTGGAGAGGGTGCAGGCCAGATTGAGGGATCTCCCTTCCCCGCCCCTGTGCACAAATTTCATGCACCGGGCCTCTAGTATATTATAAGACCACATGTATGATTCCATTTTTATGAAATGTCCAGAATGGACAAACCTAGAACAGAAAAGTAGACTGGTGGTTGCTGAGTACAAGGGGGAAATAGGGAGTGACTTCTAATGGGTAAGGGTGTCTTTGGGGAGGTGGTCATAAAAATGTTCTAAAATAGTGATGTTTCCACAACGCTGTGAATGCATTAAAATTACTGAACTGTCCATTCTAAATGAGTGGATTGTATGATGTGTGTATTATACCTCAATAAAAGTGTTATTTAAAAAATTGATGCCATGTTGCCAATGGTGATTTAAACAAGGCATTAATATGGAAGTGTCATAACAATTGTGAAAACAAAAGGAATAAATATACATACAAATATAAGCCTATACTATATCGAAGTAAACATTAGAAACAGGTAACAATAGTTGCCTTTGCAGAGAAAAACTCATCCTGGAAGTTATGGGTAAGAGGGAAAGTCATTTTTCACTGAATACATATATTTTATTTTTAAAAGCAAACAAAGAATAGATGAAAATTTCAACAATAGGTACATATATTTTTTACATGTGATAGACTTTTGTAAAAGGAAAACTGAAGAAATATTTACTTACAATTCATCAGGTCTATATGGAGGGGGACTTTCAAAAGGCCTCGATGACATGGTCAGTGGTCACCTGATCTTCAAGATGAGCAATGTCCTGTAGCTCCCAAGATAAGCCAATCTAAGCAACATAAGTAGGGTAATGGCATTACTACTGAGCTCAGAGTTTCCTTGCATCACTAAGAAAACGAGTGATACCAATCTCAAGTAACTTCTCACACCATGTTTATTTCTCTGGTCCTTCCCATTGCTATTTTATACATTGGACCATTAATTCCTTGAGCGGAGGAAATCACTGAGCACAGGAATTATTCAGCCTGGGAGTCCTCACAGCACCTCACACCATGCTCTGTGTATCACTGGCGTACAAATATTGTTTACTTTGAAATTCTATATTGTAGTAATAAAAAAATTCACAACGCTTCTACAGCATAGGTAAAAAATTTGTATTTATTTTTTAAAAGTCTCTTCAAATAACAAGATGGGTATGAGAAAAAAACATTTTTAAATATATTGTTTCATATTACTTTGGAAAGTTCATATAAAATGAGAATGCATATGAAAGTGCATATCGCCCAGTCGGTGTGGCTCAGTGGTTGAGCATTGACATATGATCATGGTTCGATTCCCAGTCAGGGCACATGCCTGGGTTGCAGGCTCAATCCCCAGTAGGAGGTGTGCAGGGGGCAGCAGATCGATGATTGTCTCTCATCACTGATGTTTCTCTCTCTCTCTCCCTTCCTCTCTGAAATCAATAAAAATACCTTTTTTAAAAAGAAAAAAAAGTGCATATCTAGCAGTCTAACACATACTAGGCCATCAATGTTAACTATAGCATAAGCTGGTTTAAAAAGTATATTTTTCTCATTACAAATGATTACAAGATGCATCTATGAATGGTGGGATTGTGGACAGTTAGTTTCCCATTCTGCTTTTCTAAATCTTCAAAACCGGGCATAATTTTTATAAATTATGGGGGGGGGACGACATTAAATGCACATTGTATTAAAGAGTCCTCTAAGGCAAAAGCAGAATGATTTTGTTCTAACATTTCTCAATTTGTCCCAATTTCATTCAATCAACGAGTATTTATTAGGTGCCTCTGCTATATCACAGGACCTGTGGAAATTAAGTATGAGACAAAGTCCTCCTGAAGGTCACCCAGCCTACTGCAATAGGCATTAATTAGGACCGAATTATGTGATAAAGTGCAGTATGGGGATGACCAAAGACTTAAAGAGGAAGCGGAAAGGAAGGAAGGGAGGAAGAACAATTGAGCAAGACCTATATCTTCCCTGGCCGGCGTTTCTCAGTGGTTAGAGTGTTGGCCCATGCACCAAAGGGTAGCAGGTTCCATTCCTGGTACCTGAGTTGCAGGTTCCATCCCTGACCTAGACTGGGGTGTGTGCAGGAGGCAACCAATCGATATGTCTCTCACACCTCTCTCTCTCTCTTTTTCTCTCACTCCTCCCTCCCTCCCACTCTAAAAATTAATGGAAAAAATATCCTTACTGAGAACTGACAAAAAAAAAAAAAAAAAGAATCAACCAATCAATACAGGGATAGGTGGAACAACAAATTGATATTTCTCTCTCTCTAAAAAGAAATATTAAAAAATCTATATCTGAATATATTAAAGTGTCTAATGTTTTTTATTCTCAAATAAAGTATGTGTAATCTTGCATCACTGTGTTAGAAACTGAATCAATTCAAACTCTTTAAACTTTATTCTTTAAAAGCAACGGCAGCTATTGCCTACATCCTTAAGGACAATGAATTCCAAATGTCTTAGAATAAAATACTGCCTAAATGTATATTACATAAAACCTCGAAGATGGAAATACAGTGAATGTTAGTAACATCAATAGTTAACATAACTTTTCCAAACACAAAGAGGGAAGACAACTTCTCTACATTCTTTTACTTCTAAAAACCACCTTATTGACTGAAACATACAGAAAGTACACAAGTCATAGGTTTACAAAGCCCTATAACTAGCATCCAAACACACATATAAATGAGCAATTTAGGCCAAAATATTATGGTGCTATAAGAGTAAAAGTCCAGTCTGTCGAATCTCAGAGGGAAGACAGGGGTGAGGGTGGCGGGTGGTGGTTGAGGGATAGGAAGAGACCTTGTAGGCATATATATGCATAACCTCTGAACATAGACAATAGGGTAGTGAAGGCCTGGGGCTGGGGGGAGGGTGGGGGCGGGCTAGAAGAGGTCAATGGGAGAAAAAAGGGGACATATTTAATACTGTCAACAATTTTTTTTTTAAAGAGTCAAAGTCCAGGTTAAATGTCTCCCTAATTGAGATTCAGAAAAATATTAAGAAAAACTGAATTTAGACACTATTTCTGAAGCTGAATGTCAAATACTGACTGACTGACCTGAGAGGAGGAATCTTATTCCTTCTATACCTCTCACTCACTCATTCAAGACTATGCCAAAAATTCCAGGCTCAATGATGGCTTTTGAACATTCTAACTTAATCCAGACCCAGACCACAGTTTAAGTTTTGTCAAAAATCCAAACAAGAAAATCCCTTTCCAAACTACTATTTCCTAGATTCAGAGTTTAGTTGTCATGACTCCTCTAATAACAGATTTTAAATTGTGAAGCAAATTAATTTTAGAAAGCTAATTAAGAACAAGTCATGCCACACCAACTTCATCTCCTTTTTGGAGGTTACCAGGCTGGTAGATGAAGGAAGTGCAGAGAGAATCCTGAGAATCTTGAGCACATCCCTGCTGTACAGACTGTGTTGGGCAGATTTCTAAGGAGCTCAAGAATGGAATCTAAGATAAAAGAATGGACCATTTATGTCCACCTGGAGGGAGGTCTCTAGTGGTTCTGCCACACACAAAGTGGAAGCAACAAGCTCATCCAGATTTGCAGCTAAGGACCCCACTGGCTACAAGTCTATCAACACTGATCAAGTTCTCCGTAAGGTCGGAAGGATGATTGAAAGAAACCTAGTGGTTGTAAAAACTCACTGCCTGGCACAAGTTCCTCATCTCTGAGCCTCACTACCCTCCTCTGTCAAATGGGGGCTAACCCTAAGCTCTGAGGTGGGATAACTAAATAAAACAACGAATTAAGCCTGGCCAGTGTGGTTCAGTGGTTGAGCATCCACCCATGAACCCAGAGGTCACAGCTGGATTCCAGGTCAGGGCACATGCTCGGGTTACGGCTCAATTCCCAAGTAGGGGGGATACAGGAAACAACCTATCGATGTTAATGTTTCTCTCTCATAGATGTTTCTATCTCTCTCCCTCTCCTTTCCTCTCTCTCTAAAATGAATAAAAACATTTTTTAAATGTTAACTCAATTTTTAAAAATTAATAGTATAAGTACTGGATAAGGAGAGCTGGCTTAATAACTGTCCATTTTTAAAAGTGCATTTCCTTGGTGAGAATTTCAACAAAAGTTAACATATTATTCCAAACTCAGATAGTACTCACAGAGAGAGTGCTTGAATCTAGGAATGACACAGTTATTAAAAAGAAGCAAACCTCTGCAATATCTTAAAATCTGTGCATCATGTTCCAATTAACTCCCTCTCTAGAGGGTGATTAAGATTATTGAAGATCTAGAAAAATCATGTCTTAACACAAATGATTGGAAAAACAGGAAATGTCTGGCCTGGAGAACTCAACATTAGAAGGACCACTATGGCAACCTTCAATATCTGAAGAACCCCCTTTGTCGTCCTAGACATGGTATTTGAAACACAAACACACACACACCACCACCACCACCACCAGGGTCAGATTCCCTCTCAATGTTAGGAAGTTTCTCCCTCACCCTGACCCCACACACCCTCCAAAAAATAACAACTAACAACTTGATCTGATGCCAATTATGCAAAGCTTAAGTTGTTTGATATTTGAGGGGACTGGACGGGACTTAAAAGGTCTCTCTCAAGGCAGTCTGTGACTGTGCTTTGAGGCGACAGCCAAAGTAGAAAGTGAGCCAAGATACAACAGACGGTTGTCCAATGTCCAGCACAGCAAGTTGTAACAGTGAAAGGGACATAAGTCAAACAGCTGAGTAAAAGTCAGGGGCAAAAGAGAAGCAGCAAACACTTGTAGAATGTTATGCTGAAAGCCAGCTAATGTTAACATATAACAAAAGTTCTCTTCTTGAAAATGTTTACTGGTCCAAAGCTGTCCTAAAAACAAAACAAAAAAACAAACAAAAACAAGCTAAGATGAAGTAGAAAAGTCTGAAAATACTATGTCCAAAATTATTCCTTAAAGCAAGTTGTCAAAAAAATAAAAAATAAACTTTATTGTATTGAAGGGCAGTCTGCTCCTTCTCAATCTCATACAGCAATAGTTAATCTGTGTCTAAGAAGTTTTTTTTTAAGTTGTGCCTGATATTTAGGTTATAGGCACTTCATTAGTAAACTGCCTAAATTTTTGAAATTAGGCAAACTTTGAAATAGTTGAGCTGTGTGTCAGAAACTGCATTTTAAATAAGCTCTCCAGATAATTTTTAAGCACACCGTAATTCTGAGAATCACTGTCTCAAATAAAAGTGTTGATATTGTGTTTCCTGTCCAGCACACTCAGATCTTCACTTGGCAGTGCCTGTGGTTCAGTTCTCAGTGCAAGTGTCTCACTTCCTCAGAGGCCGTCCCCGACACTCACTCCATCCACTAAACCTGTTTTATTTTCAGAGGCATTTCCCCCCACCACAACCAACTAAATTATTAGCTTTTCTTTTCTTTTCTTTCTTTCTGCCCGCTCCCCTCTCCACCCTGACTGGAATACCATCTCACAAGCACTCAGATGTCTGTTTTGACCATCACTGTTATCCCTGATCCGTGGTACAAAGTGATGATCTACCAATACCTGATTTATAAAGACCAACAGCCCATATTACAGCCGGGGTTTCAATCCACCAGTGACCAGATTGAAGTTCTTCACTCATAACACCCAGTAAATACAATCCTTTAAGTTCAACAAACATAACTGAGCTTACAGTCTGAGAGGAAAAAGAGAGAAAACGGTGAAATACACAAACATGTGGGCATCACCTGAGAATTCCTTAGAAATGCAGAATTCCAGGCCCCACTTCTTACCTATGAATCAGAATCTGTATTTTAATAAG